AAAATGTACACGTTGACATTTACACTCTTGCATTACATCGCAATGTACATATTATTTGTATACGATATATAAATAAGAATCCAACATTTTATATAGAGAATATAAATACAATATCAGTTATATTAATATTTATTTTTATATTTTACTAAGTAAATCAAAATATAACATTTTTTAAATAATTTATTAAAGTATAAAATAATTTTTTTTTATTATTGAAAGAAATACATAAGATTTTTAGTTTTAATATAATTTTAAAATTAAATTAATAATTTAATTATAATAAATGTTATTATTTTATTATTATAGAAAAAAATATATGACAGAATATATTTATAAACAAAAATTAATAATCTTATAAAACAAAATTGATATTCTAAAAATTAAAATGGAACTAGAGATTCTTTTAATTCTGTCAATATGTTGATAATAGTGAATTTTGATTTTCAAGTATAGAAATGCTGTAGACTATAGTGTAATGTTGATTTATACTGTAAAATAAAATTCTGTAATTTATAATTTATAATTTCAATTATATGATAAAAGTTATAATGATTATTAATGATAAATAACTATTACATTGATTTTATATAATATATAACTATTTTTAGTTTGTTTGTTGAATTTTAGTTGATTTATAACAACAAAAATATTCTATTATATGTAAATGTAAAAAGACAAATTGTCTTCTCTTCTTTTCTTTTTAATCTGCATTTAATAAATAAAAAATACAATGTCTTATATGTTGTCACATCTTCATAATGGATGGCAAGTAGATCAGGCGATTTTATCAGAAGAAGATAGAGTAGTTGTAAGTTTTTAATTTAATTTTATTAAATCAAATATTCTAGATTTTTTGAAAATACATGGAATTGTATTCAAGTTTGTTTAATAAAATAAAAAAAGGTGTAAATAATATATATTTAGGTTATCAGATTTGGTCATGATTGGGATCCAATGTGTATGAAAATGGATGAAGTACTTTATAATATTGCTGAAAAAGTAAAAAATTTTGCTGTCATCTATTTGGTTGATATTACACAAGTACCTGATTTTAATAAAATGTAAGTTTTAAATTAAAAATTATTAGTTTAAATATTCTAATTCTTATTAATATAATATAAATATAATAATTATTAAATAATTTTATTTTAATAAATAAAATTTTATAATATAAAAATAAATTTTTGTAAAAAATATAAATGTAAATCTTTTATAGGTATGAATTATATGATCCTTGTACAGTAATGTTTTTCTTTCGAAATAAACATATAATGATTGATTTAGGAACTGGAAATAATAATAAAATAAATTGGACATTAGAAGATAAACAAGAAATGATTGATATTATTGAAACAGTTTATAGAGGTGCTAGAAAAGGTAGAGGTTTAGTTGTTTCACCCAAAGATTATTCTACAAAATACCGCTATTAATTATATATTAATAAGTCCTAATAAAAATATTATTATTATTAAGCTTGAAGTTATATGAATAAATAAAAATATATTATAATTAAAAACAAATATAAAATTATGTATTATGATATATATTTATGCAATTCAAAATAAATTGCACATTATTAAAAAATATTAGTTATATTTCTATATTTTTTATTTTATATTATTTTATATAATATATATAAATTTTTATAAATTAAATACTTTATTTTGTATGCAAAAAAAAATAATAGTTCAGTAAATAAATTATTACATACAAAAATTTTCTTTTTAGTGTAAAATTTATATAATATATATTAATTTTAAGATATTTTAAAAATATTTATAATTTTCTATTATATTATGTTATTAATTTTTAATATATTTAAACAATAAACAAACACATGACTTATATTTAAAAAATGTTGATATTTTTTGTTCTGGATATTTATAATATAATAAAACTTAATTGAAATATTATTATAAATAAAACATGATACAATATTATGTAAGAAATATTTTAACTTTTTTGTAGAAATTAAAATATTTTAAATATCTAAATATATATAAAAAAATTTTAAAAATGAGATAAAATAAAAAAATTATAATTAATTAAAACATGTAATTAAAATATTTGCAATTATAACATATTTTTTTTATATTTAATCGTATTTATAAATATTTTCTTTCTAAAAAAATAAATATTTTTATATTTTTTTTTATACATATAATAATATATAAAACAAATAAAATATTTGAAATTGTACATATATTTCAAAATTGTTGATTTTTATATTTATATTTTTATTTTTAATTTGATAATATTTTTATCTTCTTTGAAATATTTTCATATATAGGGTTTGGATGATAGTATATTCTGAAAATATTATAAATATTATATTGATAAATATTATAACATATAATATCAAACTTATTAATAATAAGTGATATTTACAATTTTTTAAATAATAAAGATTCTTTAATACTTGTTTTATACAATTATATTAGTATTTTTTATGGATAAAAACAATAATAATTTAGCAATATATATTATGCAAATAAATTACATGTATATACATTGGCAGCACAAAATATATATATATATCATTTAAGATAATGTATGTTTATTATATTAAATAATTCATTTATTTATAAACATTTATTTCATTAAGATTATGACATGTATAATTCAATAATAATGAATAAATACCTTATTTTATTTAATTGAATAACTATGATAGTTTTAAATTCATTCTTTTCATAATTTTTTTTTTCTTTCTAATTGTTAATTGTAACATTAGTTTTAGCATAAAAAAATATAAATTGCAAAAAATTGATATTCGAATTTTTTAATAATAAAATATTTACAAATAAATATGTTTCATCTATAATGTTACTGAATGAAATCAAATTAACATTGGAGCTAACATTTTAAAAAATATAAATCAAATAATATGAAATTTTTAATATTCGCAACGTCTACTATGAAATTTATTTTATCACTTAATTTTATTTTTATATAAAATATTATATATTTGATGTACTGTATTAAAATATTTCATTTTGGTAAATTTATAAAATTTAATTTTTGATGTATTAATTATGTATGTATTAATACATGACTTATTAATTATATTGATTTATTTATAAATTTTATTAAATTTTATTATTTACAAAAATCAAATGGGAAATTTTATATAATAAATAACACCATATATTACACTTTTATTCTTGTTTTATTTTTTCATTATGCATGAGAAATATTATTATACCAATTACATTAATACAATCTTTGAGGAGGTCCCATTGAAGATTTAATGTGAAGAGAACGCACATTTTGCCAATGTTTTTTCAATAATGAAACCAAAAAATTAATTGAAAGATGTACATTTTGTACTAGTTCATCTGGAGTCATTTCCACATGTCCTACAGCTACTGACAAACATAATACCTAAAAACAACAAAATTTTTCAAATTATATTTAAAAAAAAATATTAAAAATTATAATTTTAAGGATTTATAATACAATAGTATAATAAATATAAAACAAGATTTACCTTTTTCATTTGAAATTTAATTGTAGCTTTCACTTCATCAATTTTCCCTACCATTGATTCTTGATGAGAAAGAAGACCAGGAAATTTACCAGCTTTATTTAGACCAGGACCAAGAATACGTGGAATTTGTTTAATTAAAGATTCACTAGCTAAGAAAGCATCATATTTTTTGGCTGAAAAAATTACATACAAGTTAATTTTTAAATAATAATAATAAAGTTAATTTAAAAAAAATGTCTCAACACGGATTGAGGATACGAAGTAATGAAACACAACGTCCTCACCAAGTGAAGAATTTAATTTTCTTCCATTCGACAACCAGTGTTAAAAATTATAAGTTAACAATGGTGCTTTTTGGAAGACAAAATAAGAGAATAATACATAAAAAAAAACAAATATATAAAATAAAAAATTTTTGATTACCTAGTTTTTTTACAAGTTTTTTATTTTTATTCAATTTTTTCAATGCTTCTGCATCCATATATGGAATATTGTTAGCTTTAGCTTCATCACAATGTTGTTGGTCTCCCAAAACACAAACTTGCATTTTTGGTCTTGGAATATTTTTTAACCTTTAACAATACAACATATATAAATTAACACTCATATATATGTATATATCATATATATATATATATAAACAATAATATATATATATAAACAATTTTGAATGAAAATTGCTTATTACTCATAATTTTAATATAATATATTATTAATATAAGAAATAACAATATTGAAAAAATAAAAATTAAAATTATTATAATTATACAAAAATAAAAATACATATATGAAAGGCAATGTTCTCAGTGGCATATTGAAGAACAACATAAATTATTCAGATAATACATGCAATATATAATTTACCATCATTGAACATTAATTTCATTAATTAAATTGAATAAATAATTGCCACAATCAAATATTAACTTACCTGTAGGATCATAAGTTATGATCCTGGAATAAAAACAAAGGTAGAATACCTCCCCAATTTATTTAAGACCCTGGGTAAAGGTCCGCTAGGTAAAACCCAGCTTCCTGACTATATATGAGGTAATCTTTTCGGACATTAATTAAAAAAAAGAAAAAAAGAAAAATAGATTTAAGAATCATCAAAAACCGAAAGGAATCCTCAATGTCAGGTAAAAACATACTTGACAGTGCCTGAGAAACGTTTGTCCTTTTGTGGATCATAATTCTTCAATCCAATTTGGAGCTCCACTGTTTCTAAGAATTTCCTTTTTTTGTCTTGTGAGTGTTGGAGGACAGCATTCACACATTCATAAAGAGTATCACGCGATACTTTGGACCTATTCATTAAAATTATTACATCAGAAATTTAAAATTATTATATTTTTTGTATCACACTATAATTTATAGAATACACAAAATATGTACATAAGTTGAAAAATTTAAAATTATATTAAAAATTATAAAAAAAAAATAAAACAAAAAAATTAATTTTTTGCTATAATAGAAAGAGAAAAATTACATTAATTTGTTAAAATATAATTTAAATTTATGTTTTTACTTATATTTACATAAATAATTTTTAAATAATTAAGATTGATTTTATAAAAAAATATTTATGAATGTATGATACAACGTGGAACCATACGTTTTGAGGTATTAATACTACGATATAACATTTAATACAATAATTATTTAAAGAAAATACTAATAATTATATTAAAAAGATATATTAAAAAATATATTATTTATAATATTAAAAATATAAAATTTTGGATTTTTAAAATATAAACAGATTAAATACTCACGTCATTATATCTCTATACACAGATTACAATCACTCGACTATCCACTTGTCTGACTAAAATCAGAAAGAAATGTAATAGTGTGGACAAGTAAAATCAAGTGAAAAGAATATATATTTACTAGATAGATATCATATTAAAATTTCTACTTATATTTCTTAAAGGTATTATAGATGGCGTATTTGTAGTTTCAAAATTCTTTGCTGCTTTTTTATAATAAAAAAGAGTATATGATATAAAACATGATTAAAATTTAAAAGAAATATATTAGCAATTTTTCATTTAAAAAAAATATTACATAAATAAAATAATATTAAATCTTTTAAATAAAATAGAAAAAGAAATCCATTTTCATGAAAATAAGCAATTAAAATGGCAAGAACTGATGTCAAGACTATTGTATTTTATATAACATTAAATATTATCTTAATACTAAATACTAATAGGTGAAATCATAATATCACAATATGATTTATTTATTTTCAGAGATTTAGTTTATTATTATCCGTGATAAAATAAAAATAAATGAAAGATTTAAATAATTATTTGATTTTTGCCAAAAATTTTCTTTTATTATTAATAATTAATATAATAAATTATATTTTTTTTATTTATATATATTAATATATAATC